TAAAAGCTTGTGAAGCAGACAAGCCAGCTGGGTATGTGAACGGATGCAGACATCACGAAGGGGTGTTGCCTTCACTTCTTTCCAAGATGTTGTTGTCATAATGTAGGGTGCACATGTACATTTTTATGATGATTATAAGATGACTGCCCTCTGAGCCATGCAATTTCTCCTTCCTTTTGATAAGCTGGTAGTCAGGAGACATGGAAGGAAGAAAAGAGAACATCTGTGTTTTACAGAATTGTTTTCTGGAGTTTTCCATCCTTGTCTCTTCAAAGGCATCTGTCCATCATGGGATGCTTTGGGCTACTCCATACCAAGTCCAAACTTGCACCCTCACAGTTCTAGTATTTCATGTAGATCACTATTTTTTTATAGTTTTTCACTTGCTATATCTTTTTTTCTTTTTCTTTTTTCTTTTTTTTTTCTTTTTTCTTTTTTTTTTTTTGCTTATACAGAAAAGCTTTTAACACTTATGATGAATTTGTCAAACCATTGTGGTAGAACAGGCATAGTGGAAGAGCTAGTGCCTTGTTTTGAAGTCAAGTAGAAGCTCCTGCTGTTGCAGCTTCCCTTTAGCTCTTTTGGCAGTTGGGAATCTCTTGACATGACACGAGGAAGTTTCTGCACCATAAATTTCAGTGAGTGAGATAAGCATCGAGCTTACATTTTAATTTTAGTTCGAGCAAACATTTTAATTTTAGTTCAGCGTGGCAGAAGAAGCTTGCAAACACATCATGTTGGTTGCAACATCTCTTTGGTGTCATAGTTGTTTTTCTGGAACAATATAGTGGGTTGACTGCTGCAAAGCAAGAGTTTGGACACCTGTAAAACTGGCCATGCAGTTAGCTATAAGTTAACCCAAACAACCTTTCAGTAGCCACATGCAACAAGCTGCAATTTTCAGGCTTGACCCCTGTTTCTACCCTTAGGAATGCGATTCAAGTACAAACTGCTGGCCCTACAGGAGCTTTGAATCTTTAGTGCTTTGTGTTGTAGCTATAAGAATGGAAACGCTGCAGTTGGTCCAGCTCTGTAGTTCAGCTATCTTCCACTGGACCCATCTGCTAGTTAATCCTGCAGAAGAAACGGAGTTGATAACAAGACAGTAGGAGCTGTCGTAAGCATTTTTTTATGTCTAGCAACTGGGCATGGCATAGGGGAAGGCATGGACGTTACTCAGAAAGGCAGTGGAGTAATGGAAGGTGATGGGTCCATATGGAGTAGAAGTACTTTCAGAAAAGGGACCTTCTCCTCCTCCTGCAGTTTCCATGGAAATGAGCTCTGATAGTGTTAGAGGTTCTCATAACCTCTCTCTGTAAACCTTTAGTTGCTCAAAAGAGGGAGCTGGTTGCAATCTGTTTAGGCCATTTGGCATGGCATCTCCACAACTGTTCCTCACAGTGTGTTTGTTATTTTGCATAACAATGAGAGGTGGTCCAGCAGTTAGGATGCTAACTTTGAAGGGAGGGTGTGAAGAAACCTGTTTTTCTCTGCAGGACACCTGGGAAGGATGGGAAGGAGGACCAGACCTTAGTGGAGATGATGCTGTTTGAAGTGTATGTTTCAGATTTCTCCAGTTTTGCTAATGAACAGTGTTGTCAGCAATGCAGGTGTAAAGGATGCTGTATGTGGCAGCTGATTCACTTTGACAGTGCCCTGGTTTGCACTCCGGAGGCTATTTCTGTTTCTGGGGTGATGCTGTACAGCTGACAGGCACAATCTGTGTGTCAGCTCAGGAAAATGCCTGGAGAGCCCACCAAGCCTTCTAAATATCAGCCTTATTGGACATCGTACAAGCGAGGGGGAATCTGTGCCTCCACTATCTCTTTTTTTTCCCCCCTCTCTTTTAATAAATATTGTGTTTTTGTGTGCTTGGATGGCATTTTCATTCAAAAAGGGAGGGAAGGAATGAAAGTGTCATCCACACCCATGGTGCCAGGCACATAACTCAGGCGGATTACTCATAAAACTGCACGCTCAATCTGAAGCTATGAAAGATTTCTTCTACCAGTTTCCTCCGTTTGTCCACAAACTTGAAATTAATCTCACCTAAACCTTCAGTATCATTTGCTCTACCGGTGCAGGCAGGAATGGTTTTCTTTTGTGGCCGAATGTTTCAGACCAAAAGGAAACCCAAATGTGTGTGTAGCTATTAAATGGAGGCATTCACTCCATTTTTTTTTTTCTTTTTAAAGAGGAGGATCCCAGGCTGAAGATGAGGTATGCCCCCCTGGAAGACAAAGGGATTGCCTTTGGTCTTTTAGCATGTGTGTTAGCAAACCTGGCTTGAAATTCGTTGCAACTTTATCAACATCATCATCGTCCTCTCCCTATATTTATATACCTAGAGTGGCAGAGTCATGCAGTTGAAAGCAGGTGGGTGTAGAAGTCATGAATTCCCAATTCTTGGCCGCTATTGCACCTCTTTCTTCCTTTAGGAAGGCAGTACAGTAAGGGTTAGGTTGGATCCCCCATAAAAGAGCCTCCTCTTGACCAGAGGCAATGGTGGCTTTGCTCAACGAGAAACTGGAAGAGGAAAAATCAGCACAGAATGAACATGTACAACTCAGCTGACAGGGCTGCTAATCTCTAACGTGCTGGTGACATGTCTTAAGAGGTAGTAAAAGGCTTTTTTTAAAGTTCCCGTCTACCCACTAGCTACTTCTACCCAGCCCAACTTCAAGAGGACAGAATCACAGAATCACAGAATGGTTAAGGTTGGAAGGGACCTCTAGAGATCATCTAGTCCAATCTCCCTGCTCTGGCAGGGACACCAGTGCACGTGGCACAGCATTGCATCCAGGTGGTTTGAAAGATCTCCAGAGAAGGACACTCCACAGCCTCCCTGGGCAGCCTGTTCCAGGGCTCTGTCACCATCACAGTGAAGAAGCTCTTCCTCACCTGGAGATGGAACTGCCTGTGTTTTAATTTGTACCCATTACAGCTTATCCTGTTTCTGGCCACCACTGAGAACTGAGAACAGTGGCCATCCTCTTTACATTTTCTCCTCAAGTATTTGTACATATTGATCAGATCTCCTCTCAGCCTTCTCTTCTAAAGGCTAAACAGGCCCCACTTGCTTATACAGGAGATGCTCCATTTCCTTAATCATCTTTGTCACTCAATGATGGAGTCTCTCTAGAAGCTCCACATCCCTCTCATACTGGGGAGCCCAGAACTGCACCCAATACTCCAGTTGCGGCCTCACCAGAGCTGAGTAGAGGGGCAGGATCAGGTTCCCCTCGCTCGACCTGCTGGCAACGTCAGACGTGAAAGTGCAGCAGGGAATGTCCCAAGCATGAGATGTTGAAGGGAAAGGTCTAGTACTTGGTTTTACTTCTAGGTGGCACTATGACTGTTGTGCTTGTTCTGTTTGCTAAGGTTGTTCTTGTGATCAAGCTGTTGAAGTTCGATGAATTACTGCTCACCAGATTATCATCATCCCCATCAAAGAGGAGAAAGCACTGAACTGATTTGCCTGATAGTGGCAAATGTGAATTTAATGGGTTATATGAGAAGGTGGTTGGGAATTGCATCCTCTAAGTGCAATAATTCAATAAGATCAGTGTTTACCAAATACCTCACGCAATTTGTTCCAAATCTTGATTAAACCCCTAGGCCAGTTTCCTGTCCTGAAGCTCAGGCAAACTTACTTTTTATTTACTACTTTTTATTTTATGCTATTTTTTGCACCACCTCTCATAGTTTCTCACAGCCAGCAACAACAAAATACCAATATGGGAGGGGAAAGGCTGCAGGCATAGTGCAGAATTGGCTTGGTATATTTGCACAGAGGTCACTGAAGGCTGAGGTTGCTTCTGAGGGCAGATGCAAATCACTGCTGGGCTTTTATCTCTGCAGTTTTCCTCGCTGGGGAAATTGTGTCCATTTCAAATCTTTTTTTTTTTTTTTTTTTAATTTGTCGGTATAGTTTAGAAATAATAAATGTTTGTTAATGCCTTCAAAATTCTACTGTATTTAACTGAAGCAGTAAAGCAGATGCTGCATTTTCATTACGTGATGCAGAGGAAGGGCTTCTTCTTTGGCATCAACTGAACAGATGAGTGTGTTCATTGGGAGAAGGGCCTTTCGTGGGAACAGACTGTTGAATGGACACTGCAGTTCTCTTTGTAGAGAGTAAATCCGGACATTAATATCTGTTGCAATTCAGATACCCCATGGAACCTTCCATTTATCTGGCTAATGGTCATCTTGTATAGTTGAGCTCCTGAGGACAGAAATCCATGTCATCTTGAGCACAGCTCTTGGTTGCATCTCAAAAGCTTGGTGAATGCAAGACCTGTTATTCGGAGATGCGAGGAGCTGCTTTATTGCAAGGGAAATCAATACTTTTAGAGTCACAGTAGTGGTTTTTTTTTTTTTCTAGAAGGAGAGTCACTAGGATGAAAGCTAAAAATGGACATTCTGGCAAGGTCAGGATCTATGCACATGTATATAAACACGTGTGAGAAACAACCTGCCGGTGACAAATGCACGGATCTTGATTCAAAGTGGCTCTTTCATCTTCCCTCAAATTTAATATGTGCTGAAGTCCTGAACTCGGTTGTGGCCAGAGCATTCCTCCCATGGCAGGGTCAGCTAAAGAAAACAGGCCAGTTAAATAAGTGATTCACCTGTTGCATCATGGATTCAAATTCTTATTTTTTCAGAAATATCCTGAAACTAATTCAAACTCTTTGCTTTTGCATCTCTGGAACATTGGAGATCCTAAAACCCTTTAACAACTTGCAGCTTCATTTCTTCTTTCTTTTTCAATAGAGATGCTTTTCCCTTGCTTAGCAGCAATGTTTTGAGGAACCAACACTTGCGTTTGCACCTGTTTAATACAACATGGCTTAAAGAGTACAGGTTCTTGCTGGGCGCCAGAGCTAACAGCTCTAATGGTGTTTGACAGTATCCTCAACAGTGAAAGTGAAATAATTTTCATCTCAGTACTAATCTTCTATCTCTTTTTTTCCTTCTAGATTGCAAGGAAGTCTTTTGTGACCAGGAGAAAAGGACTTTGGAAACAATTGGTAAGACCATCCCTGTAGGACTAGATCATCTTTGCGTGTGTAAGGATGAGGCTCAGGCAAATGCAAATATCGTCTGTGATTGCTGGGATGAAATGGGTTATTTATAGCACGTTCACCCTCTTTTTGACTGAGTTGGCAAAAGGGAAAACTGTTTTAATGAACATTTTGGCTTCCATCCACTCCAAAGCAAGGCCTTCCTAGACAGACCTTTTATTCTTTCTAAACCTCCCCCAAGCTAAAAGCGTGCTAGGTAATATTGTTTTAAGTGTCTGTGCTAAAATGGTTGGAAATACCACTTATCTAACTCAATTAAAAAGCCACCTGTTTGCCTATTCAGGCATAGCTGATGGTCTGGCTAGTTGTCTTTTTCTACTCCTACATCCTTGGTCTTTGTGCCAAACGCAGTCATCCTACAGAAAGCTAGTTGATAAGCAGGGATTGGCAATATGTTGCTTTTGCTTTTCTGCGTGCTGATACGATGGCGAGGCCAGGGAGGGAGTCCCTGTGCGTCATGCCTTGGCTTGACTCATGAAGAGAGCAGCTTCTCTCCTAGAGAGAGCTGCAGCCGTGTTTTTCTCTTCTCCCTTGCTGTTGCTGACATGCTGGTCATTTGATGGTTTGGTATCTTTGATGTCTAGAGCAACGCGCAAAACAAATGAGATAAGAATAATGTCAGGGATTTGAATCATGGGTGCTTAAAGAGGCAATGCCAAATTCCCTGAAATCTCTAAGAACTTGGTGGTTTTGTGGGCTCAACTTCATGTTCCTCCTTGCAGAAGCTCTTGCTGGAGTTGAGTATAACTGCATTGTGCCCTGTGTAGCGTGGTCTCGCACCGTGACGGTGGTCTGGACCTGCCTCCCTGGGGTGTTGTACATTGGACTGGTCCTGGCAGCAAAGTGCAGCAGCACTTGAGTTACATCACAGAGGAATTGCTGTCTGTTTCTCCAGAAGATTTCACAAGAGGATAACTGTTTTCAGCCAAGAAAGTGGAAGTGAAACTCCTTGATTCTTCCTGTAGCTGCAGTTTTGTTTCCATCCAGCTTTCCTCGGCTTTGAGGTATAAGGAGCAGCTGTGGATTTACACAACTCTTTCATGAGGTCCCTCGGGACAGCAATTTTGGCTCATCACCTGCAGGTCTCGTTAAAAGGAAAGAGAACTTTGTTATTTCTGCAGGCTCTGAGGTCACCTGCTGCAACTTTACAGAGTTGTGGGGTGGATACCTGTTTGATATGCATGAGGTTTCTCTGAAATACCCACAGTCATTCTCACTGAAGCATTTTTTGGCCATACTGCGTAAAGAGCATCAGTGGTGTTACCACTCTCCTGAATGATCACTTGATGCCATGTTTGGTATTAGAGTATTAACATAAATTATCCTTTTACAAGGAGCGGGGCCAAAAGCTCCAGGACTTGGCGCTCAGTGCTGGCTAGTCATACTTTAAAACTTTTTTTTTTTTCCCCCTGAAGGTATCTTTCTTAGCTTTACTGCTTTCTCTTTCCATTTTTTGCTTTGATGTGAATATTCATCTTTGACAGAAAGAAAGGGTAGATTATGTGGGAATATGGTCTCTGGGAACTGTGTAGATCAGTGTGTTAGGAAGCCCTTTGGGTTTGCAGTAGTTGAGCTGGTTGTGGGCAGATTTTTAGCAGCAAGGAGGAATCAACTTTTTGGCATCTCTGCATCCCAAACCCATCTTGATTTCCCTGAACCACAGTTGCAGACTTGAGATAGGAGGGTGCTGGATGATGTTGAGTGGTGTGAATTATGAAGGACACCCAACCTGATGAATACAAAGGTCCCTTCAGGCTCTGAAAAATGTGGTGTTGGTGTCAGTTGAGGCCAAGTTATTTATCTCTCACCAGCTGCCACTGTCTCTCTTGACAGTATGTTTACCCTTGTTGATTTGTTGGCTCCTTCAACCTTTTAACCATTTCTGTGGTGTCTTCATACTCTTGAATGCTTCATCACTATATTCTCCCTACTTTCGCCATATGTACCATGGAAGTTGGGCCAAGTTTTCTTGCATCTGCCCATCTTCCTGCTGTGTGATGCCGATAGGGAGAACACATGGGAACTCGAGGGGAGGTTTACCACAACCACAGGTTGCTCATGAGACATCTTCAAGGACCTTGCTGTTTGGTAACCATGATAGGTACTAGCCCTAGATGTCTGTTCATCTGAGTGCAAAGCCACAGAAGGACATCTCTTGGGGCAAGGAGGCCAAATCTCTGCCCATTCAAGTTGACTATTTTTAACCTTCTACTATCTCTGATTGGAGGCAACAGAGTTGATTTTAGCTCCTCCATTCTCCCCAGCCTGGATCTGTGGTGACTGAACTCTGATGAAGGTAGCTGAACCTCCAGCTTTGCTGCAAGGTGAGTACAAAGCTTGAGCACAGCGTGCACTGTCGCCTATGCCCTCTTCATCCACATGGCTGAGCGTTAGCCCAGGAGCAGATGAGTCTTGGAGAGGCCACTCTGGGCCAATAAGCCAGCAGGTCCTCCCTGAAGACATAGTTCACCTGGCCTGACCCATGCATCTTGCATGCAGGTGATGCAATGAAGAGACTGGAGCATGGCTGTTGGGTACAGGCAGAGCTGGAAGGGGGTTCAGATGCCGCTTCTCCTATGCACATACACAAATACATATATAAAAAAAACATTTTTGCTAAAGCAAACAGCCTTTTATTGTGCCTTGCTTCTTGCTGGATCCTGGTGTATTTTTTGCCTTATCCTTGTCTTTCTGGTCTTAGGAAGTGTGACCATTAAACCTTGTAAATGCTGTTTTTTCCTGGGATATGAGTTCTGTCCTTACAGGAGCTAAGGAGTGGAAACCAATTGCCCTGGGATGTGCATGGAGGCTCGGAATATGTGATTTAGGCTCCTTGAGACACTTGAGTTGCTTTGATTCTCGCCCATCATTTCATATCCACCTCATCCAAGGTGCAGTTCTTGGCCTGTGGGAGCACCCTGCTCCATGGGATGCTACTAGGAACATGGAAGGAGAAGAGCAGCTGTCACTCTTGTTCATCTCTCCATGCTGTTGGGACATTTCAGTTTTGGGGTAGGTTCTGGCCTGATCTTGTCAGTGCGGTGGTCTCTGCAGAGGGCTGGATGGGTCATTGCCCCATTGGTGGTCCTCACTCCACAGCATGCATGTCCTGCACTGCTGCTTTTTCCTGGTGTCTTTAACATTTCAGTTACTGCACGCACAATATCTGGAGACATTTTGTAGCAAAATCCCTTGAAGTGACAACCGTGGGCAAATGCATGTTGAGACAGTGCATTAGGATTCCCGATGTTGTCATCCTAATCTCCTTAGCACCGAAAGAGCTGCTGCTCTGAGCTCCCTCTGGTATATCCCTTTAGAAACGCCATATCTAAGCAAGCGGAGATCTGCACAAAATCCCATGCCTTCCCCTAAGAGCTGGGAAGATGTTCTCCCATATGGGCAGCATAATTTGGTTTCGGCAGATCTGGGCAGCAGTGATAGATTTCAGTGTCTGAATGTCCTTCGGGGGGAAAAGCAAGAGCACCAGGGTTTGCTGAGGACTGCCTTGTGGTCTGGGGAAAAGAGAAAGTGATTCGAGACCATCACAGAGAGCCCTGAGCTTGGTGTCCCCATCTTCCTTCTCCTCCCTTGATTTAGTTTAAGGAGTCATTGCTGTGGTGCAGGGCAATGGGCTGCACAGACTCTGAGATGAGGTTTCAAGGAGCTCAGAAGCATCATAGTGGGGAGAGAGGGCTATATTATGGTAAAGGAACCCTCTCTACATGAAGGAGTTGACATTTTTGAAAATGTAACTGCAAAACTGTCTGTCTTGGTCATTTCTAATCTCCAACTAGTTCCTGGAACTTCTTCCATCTCTTGATCTAGCATGACCAGACTGAAATCCAGGTGAGATTTCTCTGTCTGCTGCCTTATCCTCATTTGGCTAGATTGTGCTGCCCCTTGGGACGGATGTCAGGAGGCAGAAGGGATGATGCATCACGAGACTCGGTTAAATGTTCTGTATTTTTCATGTTAGTGCTCAGTTGTGCAGGGATGAAGAACCTCAAAAGATAATAAGAATAATTTTTTCCCCTGTTTTTTTTTCCTGTTTCCACGTACTCTTTCAGCCATGTAATTCTTGTGTGTTGGGAATACTCCTTAGACAGAGAAGATTTGGATTTAAAGAGAAGGAAAGATTTATGTTAATTTTGAGATGCATGGGAATACAAGGAAATACAGTTATAGTTATTGCAGTAGTTATTGCTAAGGACAGCACTTGAGTGTTTCTCTTCCTTAAAAACGAGCTTAATCTCCACCATGCATAAAGGGATTGATGTAAGCTTTCCTTGGCTGGACAGATGTTTGGAGTGAGCACCAGCACCTGAATGAAGGGAATGAATGAATGAATGAATGAATGAATGAATGAATGAATGAATGAATGAATGAATGAAGGGAAATCTGATGTTGCTTGTTCTCTTACCCTCCTCACGGTTGCTGTCACCTATTTTCTAGCTTGTAGATATCTACAAAGGTACAATAGGTATCTACAGAGATACCGATTGGTATCTACAATGATTATATCTTTAGATACAATATCTACATATTGTAGATACCTGTTGTATCTTTAGATACCATATACCAACAAAGCCTAAGTAAGGTTCTTTCTTCTCTGTCTGTATGTTAGAATGAAGGTACCATGGAATCTGAGGGATATCGTAGAGCAGACACTCAGAGGGTTGTGCTTGGAAGATTGAAAAACTAAATATTGTTCCAGAAGAGGATTTTATTGGCAATAGCAGAGAAGAGAGAAGGGAGTTACAAAATGATTGCTGTGCTGCAATTGCGCAGGAGAAAGGTCCCCAAACTCCTAAACTGATCCAACCGTGAACAGGAGGAAGGCAGACTCTACGGTGCTATCTGAATTTCATCATAATAATGTAAAAGGAGTTACCACCAAAATGATGCTTTTTTGTCTATGAAATTTGAAATGTTGTTGAAATATGGTG